AATATTACATTGGAGGAAGTAGTTGGAAGGTTTACCAGTATAGATGGAAGATTACATTGGAGGAAGTAGTTGGAAGGGGAACCGCTGAGCACTTTAAATAAAAATTTTAGTTGTGTATTATAAAACTTTGTTCGTTTGTGGATTTAATATTTTAATCTCAACAATATTTAAACAATAAAATCAGTTATTAACAAATGACATGGAAAATCTCAACAATATTTAAACAATAAAATCAGTTATTAACAATTGACATGGAAAATCTCAACAATATTTAAACAATAAAATCAGTTATTAACAATTCACATGGAGAATCTCAACAATATTTAAACAATAAAATCAGTTATTAACAATTCACATGGAAAATCTCAACAATATTTAAACAATAAAATAAGTTATTAACAATTCACATGGATAATCTCAACAATATTTAATGTAAACAATATCAGTTACAATTCACATGGAGAATCTCAAAATATTAACAATAAAATCAGTTATTAACAATTCACATGGAGAATCTCAACAATATTCAATGTAAACAATATCAATTACTAGCAATGTGCATTGAAAATTTCAAAACAATTGAATTTAAATAATAAAAATTATTTAATTTGCAGTCCTGTTTTTCTTACAACACACACATGGTTAATTCACGAAGATCTGCTTGTCTTACTACACACATCTCATTCATACAGCATTACCTCTTTCAAACATTTAACATGATTTATTTCCCATACACTCACCTTGTTTTATAAAAATTAAAGGTATTTTATATCCTATTGGCTTATAGCTTTATTCTTAGATCTTCCAGCACATTCTTCTCGTCTTACAAATGATTATTAAATCTTACGTGGCCTAACGTCTATATTGACAAACCTTCCAACTACTTCCTCCAATGTAATATTCATCTATACTGGTAAACCTTCCAACTACTTCCTCCAATGTAATATTCCATCTATACTGGTAAACTTCAGCTATTTTGTGCCCGGATAACATCAAGTCTGTGTGTTTGAACTGTTTTTTTTTCTCAGCTATTTTGTGCCCGGATAACATCAAGTCTGTGTGTTTGAACTGTTTTTATTTTTCTCAGCTATTTTGAAAATCAGAAAGTATGTAGATATTGCGATCTTTGTTGTTGTTTTTTTAATTGTCAACTAGTGTCACATGATCATGGCTTTTGTACGTATATAGCACACAGTAACTGGTTTTCACACTTCTAGAGATGACGTGAATCCACTTTGAAACATGTGGAGTGACTTTCGTTCCTAGCAGGCCTGGTATGAGCAGCCAAGACTTTAGTGTTGTGTATGCGTTTTGTTTTAAATAAAAGGAACATGTAAGATTGATTAATTTATAATTATGAGGTAATTAAAAGCGTTATTATAAAAGTATTGGTCCCCCGGTGGGACAGCGGTAAGTCTTCGGATTTACAACGCTAAAATGAAGGGGTTCGATTCCCCTCGGTGGACACAGCAGATAGCCCATTGTAACTTTGCTATAACAAACACGGGACAGCGGTAAGTCTTCGGACTTACAACGCTAAAATGAAGAGGTTCGATTCCCCTCGGTGGGCACAACAGATAGCCCACTGTAACTTTGCTATAACAAACACGGGACAGCGGTAAGTCTTTGGATTTGCAACGCTAAAATCAGAGGGTTCGATTCCCCTCGGTGGACACAACAGATAGCCCACTGTAACTTTGCTATAACAAACACGGGACATCGGTAAGTCTTTGGATTTACAACGCTAAAATCAAGGGGTTCGATCTCCTCGGTGGACACAGCAGATAGCCTATTTTAACTTTGCTATAACAAACACACACACACACAAAAGTCTTGAAGTTTTGTGCCCGGATAACATCAAGTCTATGTGTTTGAACTGTTTTGTTTTTTTTCTCAGCTATTTTGTGCCCGGATAACATCAAGTCTATGTGTTTGAACTGTTTTTTTTCTCAGCTATTTTGTGCCCGGATAACATCAAGTCTATGTGTTTGAACTGTTTTTTTTTGGAATAAAATAACATTAATTAAAAGAATAAGCACAGGTGTCGGTATTGAAAACCGTTACGTAATTGGAGCTTAACCCTAAAGATAAACATTTCCTTGGGCTACAAGAGCGACACCTGCCAGGAAACACAAATAATAATAATAATAAAAAACTTTAGTTGAACCGTGAAAGCAAATAGCCTAAGCTGGTTTAACGCCATATTTCCGTTATTTTTTAACGTTCGCTAAGTTTACGGCTTGGATAACACCTACTCTTGATTGAACCAGCTATTGTGTAGATAAATTCAAATATTTAATCATAAAAGTTTATACGAACTGTATATTTATAAAGGAGTCAGTAATCGTGTGGTCAGTTGACTGGTCAAAGAATGAATAAAACTTTCTATATATTATTCTCTTACGAAAATTTACGTTTTTTTTAAACCTCTAAAGAAACTGTTTCTGAAATAATTATTTTATCAATGAAAATTTGTCTCTAGTCGTTCCCCTCAATTTTAAGCTTTTACTTTGACGAAAGATCACAGATATGTTGGGTCTTGTATACCTAGGTTTCATGAGCGAGGTCATCAGGCAGAGACGAGTCCGGTTCTTTTTTTTTCCTTACGTCAGCTTTAACTGCAATGTTTTAGATTAATATTGCGCAATACACATATCTGTCACTAGATGGTGCTAATCGTTAAGAAAAAGAAGTGCTTTATTTTCAGCAACTTGAATTTCTTTATTTAATTCCTGTATTGCATATTGGTGTATGGAAGACATATTAATAACTAGAAATAAACGACCTTACAACATCAAAATGTTTCTCTTTGTTTCATTGATGTGCACGAAACATATTTTATATTTTAATTATAACCCGTTTAGCTTACATGTTAATTTTGTTATATCTCGTGACGTAAAGAACAATCCAGTAAACAGATGTATTTATTCGTGATGTAAAGAATAATCCCGTAACACCTGTATTTATCCGTGATGTAAAGAACAATCCAGTAAACAGATGTATTTATTCGTGATGTAAAGAATAATCCAGTAAACAGCTGCATTTATCCGTGACGTAAAGAACAATCCAGTAAACAGATGTATTTATCCGTGATGTAAAGAACAATCCAGTAAACAGATGTATTTATTCGTGATGTAAAGAACAATCCAGTAAACAGATGTATTTATCCGTGATGTAAAGAACAATCCAGTAAACAGCTGTATTTTTTACATCCATTTCAAAAAAATGAGAGCGTAAGACAGTCTTTTCTGTTGGAAAATTTATTTCACAACTTTCAGAAACTACAAAATAGTTGATAATTGTAAAAATATTCCTGTATAATCATTAAAATAAGTTCACACTGTTTATTCGGCACGTCTAATAGCAACATTTGAAAATATTTGTTTTGGTCCTAAATAATCAATTGCCGGTGATATGACAGAATACAATAAACATAACGATAAATAAAACTAAACATCAATCAGATTTGTGGAAATGTACATTTAGTGAAGTTATTCTACAAGACCTAGTAATAGTCTAACCACACCATTCTTTATCAGTCCATTAAAGGTTTGAAGTGCTGATTAACATTTCAGTTATAGAGGCTGTCTGTTGCTCAATATTAACACTCACCAGGCCAGCTGGTTGATATTATACACAATTTGATGGGTGATGCCACATGTGGTCATAAAACAAGAAGTCTTGAGATGTAAGACTTAGCTGGTGGTGTGTGATGTATATATACGAATACCCGTGATGTTACTTTCACTGCTCCTCCAGCTAGACATTCTATTACATCTATAAATCTACACATTTTTTGTACGTCCAACATATGTGATGTCTACAAACTTGATTTCTGCTTGCTACTACATTCTAAATAACGTAACAAAACTACGACAAGTCATGTGCTGCTACATTCTAAATAATGTAACAAAACCACGACAAGTCATGTGCTGCTACATTCTAAATAATGTAACAAAACCACGACAAGTCATGTGTTGCTACAATCGAAGTAACGTAACAAAACCACGACAAGTCATGTGCTGCTACATTCTAAATAACGTAACAAAACCACGACAAGTCATATGCTGCTACAATCTAAATAACGTAACAAAACCTCGATAAATCATGTGCTGCTACATTCTAAATA